CTGAAATCTGGAGTAATGATGCTGAAAATGCAGCTTTACCATCCCGGGAATAAATGTCATTCAAAATATGTTAAAATACAAAACAGTTACTTTAACATTAGTATTATAGAAATAATATTTCACAATAATAATATTTCATAATATTACAGGTTTACTGTATTCCATAGACATACATACATACACAGAAAAATATCCAGTATTGTTTAGAGTTGTTTTTCTGGTGTTAATTTTCCAGTGTTAAAACATGTTGATTTGAGCGACACCAACACTTGCAGTGTAAATAAAGTCTTCAGAGGCAGTGTTAATTAGAATTATTATTATTAGAAAATAAATGCACACCCGAGGTGGTGATGTGGCCACGACGCGAAGTGGATATGACTCTCTCTCCGGTGGCAAACCATCATCAATATGTCTTAATGGCTATAGTAGTCTTACCTATACCAGATTACCATTAGAAATGTCATGGAAAAATACTTTCTTCTATCTCAATATGCAGCTTAATATAATCAACTATAAATCAACGATAAATAAGTCATTTGTAGACTGATCTCCTCAAAAAGTGTGAACACTGTGTCTTTGTGACAATATTAAAACAAGAACTTTGATTGAGCATTCCGACTATCCTGACAACAGCAGCACTGGCTCAACCAATGGTGTGAATTTGGGGTGGGACGAAATGTTTGACCGACCAATAGCAGAAAATGTTTAGGAAACCTATTTGGAAAACATTCCTTATTTTCCCAACTCTCTTCGATGATGCTAGTGCCACAGAAATGACACACTTCATTTTTAAAATCTGTGACTGAAGAGGATCATCGTTTTATACCTGCTAGACAAAGTCTGGTATTGTTTTCACAAGTCTGTTCTTACACTGCTGGATAGACCTATTAACTACGCAGTTTTATCACTCCCTCATTCTCCGCTAGTATTCCTAAATGAACCACTCACCATCTCTCTCGCTCTCTTTCCATGTCTCTCTCATCCCCCAATAAAAGCTCAGGAAATGATGAGCAGCCTTCAGAGTCCACATGATAGATAGAGAACGCAAAGGAAAGAGAGAGAGAGCGAGAGCTAAGTAACCAGCAACCCTGAGAGTGAAAGAGAGTTGAAAGATCAAGAGATAAAGACAAAAACAGGGACCAGTGCTTCTTTCAAGCCAAGATCTAAAGTGAGGAAGTGAAGATCTCTGTTGAAGATGGGTGTAGTGTTCGGGACCTTCTCTATGCACACCAAACAGGTCACCTTCAGGACAGGTAGGATCCAATTTATATATTAACCAGCTGGAAATACTTGCCTTAATAAGTTTTTGGTAAAGTTAGGCTATTTGTTTGTGAGAATGAAGGAGTGATGGACAAGTAGATGAGAAGATCGAGATAATTAGAATATATTACTTTTTTATTCATGCATCACTCTGGTTCTACTTAATGTGTAACTCGAATGTCTCTATGTGTGTGTGTGTTTAACCTAGATAATTTTTGGACAACAAAATTGCAACAGAATGCTACTTGAAGTTGGCTAAAACAGGAAAAAACTCCTCTTGGGGTTGTGTTATAAAGGAAAAATTGTTCATAGAGAGAATATTTTTTTATTAATTTCCACAAATACCATAATTTATATCTCAAAGTGCTAGCAAACAGCAATTTTAATTAGCCTAATTTAGTTTCTATAACGTCAATGTGCATTATGTGCATGTGCGAAGGAAGGATGAAGTGAATGGGTTGGCATATGCTGGCATGGGCTCCATACACGGCATTATGGGTTATGAAAGTATTACATGGCCATTTATTCCGAAATTATTACCTCCTGTAATGCTCAGAGCTGAGGGCATGGATGAGGCGATTTGAAGGATTTGAAAAGTGGAGCGATCAGGCTGCAAGTATGTGATAAGAAAATTCATAAATAGAGGAAAAAGAGAAAGCGGTTTGTTAGTGATTATTTATGCCTTGAAGATTAATTAACATACACTCCATGCAAATTTACCATTTCCGATTCTCCACAGCTTTAATGTGCTACAGAATATGCTAAAACAATACTGCAACAAATCAACACCAACACCACTGCACTCACATGTGGGAGCATGTGTTTCACTCATAAGAGCAACAGAGAGAGCCACATTTCATATACACACATATATACACACACCGGAGACCTGAAGAAAGATTATGGAGCCAAGAGGATTATGAGTTCTGGGCAGGAAGACAGAAAGCTTGTTTGAAGTCTTCACTAAAATCCCTAGGAGTTACAGGAGCTGCCTGGGAGTTTATAACTAGAGATGCAAACTGTGTGTCGACTTTGGCACTCAGCCCTGCTGGACTAGAACTTCTGCTGGATTTCTGAAGGGCATTGCTTCAGGTTCATGAGTTGGGGATAAAAATGTGAGGATGATAACTAGGAGATTTCAGTTTCAACTTTAGTGTAACTCTAGTTTTGTAGATTGTAGAAATGGCATAAAAATATGTCATTTCAACTACCAAATGAATTCCAGATGTCAAAAAACAAGCTACTAAACAATAAATAAATAATGCTGGCAAACAGTGAAAACCTGAAGCCTGAAGAAGAAATAAAATAATTAGCATTACAAACAAACCCAAGTGATATTTAATTGCACATGCTTGAATTAATTTATATGAATGCTTTATATTGGTTGTATTTTATTCATTTTTAAGCTTCCATGAAAAGTACTATACCAACAAAGCATTGTTATAACAAATAATATTAAAATATTAATATATGTTAATGTTAATATTAATTTCAATATTAATATATGTTAATATTTCCATCTCATGCTTGAACTTTAAAATGAGAAAGTTTTCAAGTATTTTTTTATGCAATCTAAAGATCGGTAACATAAATACAATTACAACACTATTATGATTTATATTTATTAAGAAACGCTGCACAAACAATGGTGATCTACACACGCAGGAATAGAAGAGATGAATTATTAATTAATCCAAAGATGCATAATCCAAACGTATTGCTGTTTTTTAACCGCACTGCTGGTAAAATTCTGTTATGCCATTTCTTACTGTACAGCTGTTGCAAAACCCTATTTAACAACATTACTATATGACTACAGTTTCTCAGTGATACAAGGTTACAGGCTGTTATTTGCACCATTGAATAGCTTTTCAAGTGTAAGCCAATCATCTGTAACCATCTCCCAAATGCATTAGCAGATTCAATGAGGCATCTGCAAAGGAACGTCTGACACAGACTGAGTGAGAAAAGAGGCTTACACCTGCCTGCGTGGATTTCACACATGCCAGTCGTTTGCTGGATATCGTTGTTTCTCTTCCAAGGATGAGTGCCAAAGTGAGAAAAGCATTACAAACGTCTTACATCAACAAAAAATGTGTTCTGATGAAATTTGAATGTTGATACCAACATCTTTATCCTGTGTGAGGCAGGTGGTACAACCTCAGGGTGTTGTGTTTTGTGCAGACTGGGTTGTAGTGATGGAGTGCAGATGTCTATGTACTAGAATAAGGATATATCTTGGCCTGATATTCAGGTCAGTCCTGCTGGATTTGCGTAATATGGAGCGGTGCGGGTTGATATTATGTAATTACTCATTACCTTCAACTTCTCTCCATACTCTCAGCCCAAAGCTCGTCCGTCTGAAGTCTCATCTTTTTGGATTATTAATAAGGTTACAGACCTGCTGTTTTGAAACTCAGATATCTCCCGGCGGCAATTTGTTTTCCTCTGTAGTTTGTCTTTCTGCTTCCCCTTTCTGTTTACTTTATCTCTGTTTCCATCTCTTTAATCGGAAAAGTTTGTGGGGTCAGTTCCCCACTAATGAGAGAGAATACCGAAACAAACAAGAGTATATGGGTCGCTTACAAAGCATTAAAATGGTATATGTACAGTGCACAAACTCAAATTTAGAGTTGATCCACGAAACATTCTTATCTGAGTAACTAAATTGCGAACGGACACACACACACACACACACACAAAGGCTCACAACGGGAAATGAACAGTGGATGATGAAACAAAATACTCAGTCACACCACAGCTCATTTGATGTATGTGAATTAGGTTTTGCCTGCAATAGGGGGACTAAATGTCTCCACAAATGCAGTAAAATCACCAACACTGGATGACCAGCAGGTGGTACACTGTAAAAAAAATTAATTTTTTCTACAGAAAAAGGCTAAAAATGCTACAGTGAAAACCTGTTAATTGGTTAAATGTACATATTAACTGTATTGGTTATATGTAATCTTACTATAAAATTATACGTAATTTTACAGTACAAAACTATCAAATGTATGTTTTCTTTTTTTTATAAATATGGCGAAAAACAGTAAATGGGCATTTTCCAGAACTACCTACATGAAACATCACATATTACATTTTATATAAATATTTTTTTCTTCTTAATTTTTGTTATCAGTTTTGTGTTACATTTTCTGTTATTTACTTCATATTTATTATTTGTAATAATATTATTTGTAGCTTGGTGTGTTAACATTATAATCACACAATAAAATATATAGTTATAAAATATACAGGCACCAATATGCTACCGTGTAGTATATGCTAAACATCACTCAATTTGTATGGTCAATTTCTAGCAACCACAGCTGCCACTTTACTATAAACTGAACAGGATTTTTATTTCTTTGTATGAACAAACACATTCTTCAAAATATCTTTTGTTTTTTTTATAGAAAAAAAAATCAGGTTTGAAACACCATGAGGGTGAGTAAATAATTGTCATTCTTGAGTGAATTATCCCTTTAAAATGGTTTATGAGAGGTTTAGGTGTGAGGTTAGAGGATAGAAAACATAATTTGCCCAGTATAAGAACAGCAGAAGTCAGTGGAACATCCCCACCATGATAGAACAACAAATGCCTGTGCATTTAAGAGCAGTAGAGTGTGAACTTAAGTCATCATCCATCTTGCCACATTCAGCTTGTTTGGAAATTTGCAATTCCATAAGGAATAGATGTGCGTATGTGTGTGCATGTGTACGCTACAGAGAGGAGCATTTCATCCTAACACTCATCCTACTGCTTCCCATCATGCTGATCCGCCTGTACAGCAACAGTTCCTGACACTGAATAACAAACGGGACCAAGGAGAAACAGCTAGAGCGAAAGGCAAAGAAAGAGAAATGAAGGGAAAGAGAGAGAGAAAGTGAAATTTGTGGGAGGGGCATCAAGGAAGGAACCATATGCTTTTAGCAAGAAAATTCCAGCTTGTCTTTATTCGCTGACAAGTGAGAAGAGAGTGGAGAGGGAAACAAGAGCAGGGGCTTCAACATAGAATGACAGACTGGCAGTCTCAACGCTTATTCGTTTGAACGTGCGTGTCTCTGCGGTGACAACATGGGAGCTGTAGTGGGCACACTGACTATGCAGACAAGACAAAGACAACCATCCAGAGGTATGTTAACTGATGACAGATTATTCAAATCGTACTCAACAATGCATTATTGTTAAATGGTTCTGCAATGGAGAAAGACTGAAAGAGTTTTGAAGAAGCAATAACAGCACTAAATCAATGACACAATGGCTATCTTAGTCCCTGAAAGAGCTTTTAGGGAAAAGAAAGAGTGTCCTGTTTGTGTTCAAAAACAGATAACACTTTAAAAAAAAAATGAGATTTATGTACAGACAATGTTCAACTAAAGAGCTGAGAGAGGATAGAATGGATGCGAGGTTGAGAAGATATGCAGTTGACAGGCAACAAACACATCACGGTCTGCTGTTTACAAATGATGGTTTAACCTCGTCCCTCACAGATAACCATCATCGACAGTGTGGGTGTATGTGTGTGGCATCTTTGTACGTGAGCGGGTGTTTTAACACTCTGCTCACATATCAACCTTCTTCCTGTTCACATGCGCCATGGTGTAGTTGTCATGGAGACAGCTTTCTAATGCTTGGTACAGCAGATGATGGGATGTTATGATCGACATGACAGCAAAGGCAGCATTATACGCAGGAATATTATACAGCACTGCTACTGTTCTTGATCCATTCACATGGATCACAAGTTTAATCATGATTAAACTTGAGCAATAATATGCATCAGTCATTTATTCAATCAATCACTAAATTACGCAGTAAATTAGAGGCCATCTGCATAGCAAATCAATGGATGAATCTATGAAACACTGGAGCTCTGTGCTGCTTGTTCATTTAAATATAAATTATTTATTTTATTATTATTATTATTATTAGATATAGAATCCTCATTTATGAAGAGCTAAATAAGAATTCTCCCCCCCCAAATTTTTTTATTATTATTATATACTGTATTTCACCTTTATGTCATTGTGATTTTCTTTTGTGAAAAAAAACAGAAGATAATTTGTCAAATGCCAAGCTGCTCTTTTCCATGCAATGCTGTTGAGCAGCCCAAAAATGAAAAAGCCGCTCCACAAATAAGTGCCCATATGATTCATCTGAATGTAGTTTAATATAAATTCAAACATGAAAGCAACCAAATAGATTAGTAATAAATTGAAGTACAAATACAATTTTTAACTAGAAAATCCAAGGATTGAAAATGTTTTAAAGCCTTTAAGGCCTTACAGACAGAGAAAATGATAGAACAATAAATATAACTTATTTAAATGTTAAGATAAAATTTGAACGGATTTCTCTAAAAATGCATTACCTGTGTTTATTGTCTGTCGATTCAGTTCAAATTCATACTTGTGAATTAAAATTCTGCACAACCTCTTGTGATTAGAATGACTGATGGTGTTGAACAACATAAAGAGGAGCAACTTATTTGAATGAACATAATTGCAATTTTAGGGGTGAATTATTCCTCAACAATCTCCTAAAATGGTCTTATGCTAAATTAAATTACGTAATAAACTGCTGCCATCTGGCAGATGGTCTTCTTTTCCCTTTGCTCCAGCCAAACAGTTCACCGTATGACAAATGCTTTGGGACATTAGGCTCCAAGCAAACCATTTATCCATTCAAAGATCAGTGATCCAAGACGTTTGACTGGTCTGGAGGCCTTTGCTTGGATTCTCAGCTCTATGTGAGGGGTGTGACCCCAGTCCTAATGAGAGGGGTGTTTAGAGCTGCAGTAACAAGTGATTTGCACTGCCTTACAGCAGCTGCTCATGAATATTCATCCTGCTTTTTAACTATTTGCTTGCTATTTGTTACTGTTCTCTGACATCTTGCCCTATAGATCTATCAGATCACTGTGGTCTAGTGCTCCCTGTGGTTAAATGTGGGCGGCTTGCTTTGGTAAATGACCTGCTAGAAGGATATATATTGTTGAGTTTGACGTCAAGGGCTGGCTTCAAATGACACGGTCTTCTTATATATAGCGCCATGGTGCTGAACTGCAATTTATTATTTTCTTCTACATGGCCTGTACTGAGAATAAATGGCAGTAAACTTGATTATAACCTGACTTGTTTATAATCGGCTCATTAATATACTTTGACACATAACTAGAAAATGTAACTACATAAAACACTCTCCAGTCATCCATTTACTGGTTTTCATTTCAACCAGTGTGCCATTAAATCTAGCTACATTTCAAACTGTGATCTCTGCACTGATAATAACATCAGAGGAAGCAAACTAATGGTTTACAAGAGCTAAAACAATTTCGTTTTAATTTATACCATAACTAGATTCAAAAATTGCACTGCAATTTGCTTGTCACTAACTAATTTAATATGCAGTGATTTTCCTAATAAATTCAATATGTACATAATCAATCTCAGAGATAATCTCAGTTCTAAAACCAATAAAGAAAAGACTGATAAGAAGACTTGTGCTGTTGTTGTTTTTAACTTTCCTCCATCTCTGTGCTAGAGGAAGCACTCTAATGGCACTAATAGCTGCTTAAATGGAGGATGTGTCTTTAAAGTTAATTTTAGTGTGTTCCTACTGCTGCTGTTTTCAAGGACTTTGTCACTGTTTTAAGCATTAAAGAGGAAGAGAGAGAAATAGATGGAAGGAGAGAGAGTGTTTCAGTCCCATGCTGTGCTCTGTTGCTCTACCACTCTACCAGTTATTTTTTTCATGTACTGACATCTTATTCCTCCTCCATTCTCTACTGATCTTTCCCACACTAAAGCACACACATATTTAGCCCCCAACTTATTTGTAATATTCCTCTTTCCCATTTTTTCAATTTCTATTTCCAAGAAATGTATTAAACAAATAATAAATTAATTAATTTTGACTTATTGGTAGAAATTCACTGTGCAGACCATAAGTGAAGTAATGAATATGGAGATATGGGAAATAAAAAAAGTAAAATAAAAAATAATGCTTTCAACATGTTATTGATGGATATTCTTAATGCAATAAATGAAGTAATCGAGAAACTGAAATAAAATGTAAAAAATGTTAAGCTATCGATAAACATTTATCGTGGAGACAATAAATGAATCAGTGAATGGGGATCGGTGATTGGTCTATTTCTCTCCTTCTCCCTCTGATAATTAAAACTACATCTTTCTTAGGTGTGTTCCCCTTAGTTTTCTCTCACCTTCCCTTTTCGTTCTCACTCTTACATCAGTTTGCATGTGTTAAAATGAAGACAGGTGATAATTAAGAGTGATGAGATGAGGGGCTGCCCTGTTGAGTTCTTGCCCAAGCAGAAGCTTCTCTTAGGCATTCCCGTGAGATGTATCCATTCCATTCTCATCACAGTTATCTTTACAGTTATTTATTTGATCAAAAATACAATAAAAACAGTAATTTTGTGAAATGTTATTACAATTAAAATAACTGCTTTGTATTTTAAAGAGGTCATAAGATGTTACTAAAAAAGAACATTATTTTGTGTATTTGGTGTAAGACAGATCGGACAATATCTGGGAGTTGTTCAAGACACATAGCTAGCTAATGGATGCTGTTTGCTTTGTTGTTATAATTCAGTTCAGCTTCAAGCTTATACTCTCCATTACAAGCTTATCTTGTGAAGCTGGTTTGCAGTCTTTCCAAAGAGACAGAATGTGTTTGAGATTAAGACAGAAGCAGGATTGCCAAAGAAATGAAGAGGATGTTGTAGGATCTGAAAATTGCTAATGCAGAAAAAAAACTGATATTTGACTATGGAGAGTTGTGTTTTAAGATGATATTACAATGCTATTTTGAAAGGAATTCTGTCATCTTTTACTTACCTTCATGATGTTCTAAACCTGTATTACGTCCCTTTATCTATGGAACACAAAAGAAGATGTTTATCAGAATGATATTGCTGCTCTTTTTAATACAATGAAAGTAAATAGTGACTAGCAGCTGTTAAACTCATTTATAAAGCAGTCCATACAATGCATGCACTATTTTAAAAGGCTTCAGACACTTTTACATAACTGTTTATTAATTTCTATATCCACATAATCACAGAACTAGAGAGGAAGAACAGCATTAGCTATGAATTTAACTCACAAATAACCAGCATCATATAAGCAGAAACATCAGTATAGCATACTAATGTTCAGAGGTTTGGGGTTTGTAAAATAAAAAGGTTTCATATCTTTCTCTTATGCTCACAAAGGCTGCATTTATTTGATCAAAAATACAATAAAAACAGTAATTTTGTGAAATGTTATTACAATTAAAATAACTGCTTTGTATTTTAAAGAGGTCATAAGATGTTACTAAAAAAGAACATTATTTTGTGTATTTGGTGTAATGAAATGTGTTTATGTGGTTTAAGATTCAAAAAACATTTTATTTTCCACATACTGTACATTATTGTTTCTCCTATATGCCCCACCTTTCTGAAACTGATTTTTACAAAGCTCATCGGTCTGAAAAGCGAGGTGTGCTCTGATTGGCCAGCTATCCAGTGCATTGTGATTGGTTGAATACCTCAAGCGTGTGACGGAAATGTTACGCCCCTACCATACTGTGATGCCGTGTCCCACTGCGACGAGACAAATCCAATAAAACCCATTATAAAGGAGGCATTTGTTGCATCCAGTGGGGACATAATTACTGATTATAATGACTTATACTGTCTTTTTATGCGTTGCGTTGCATCGCACAGTGTAAACATAAAACCATGTCTGCATTTGTGATCGGAGTAACGACAAACAATCAGCACTACTCTACACTGCTCAAATCTGCATTTGAATCATCAGTGGCAAATCCTTTAAATATGAAAACGTACTTACAGGCTGTGAGTCAGCATTATTTGTCAGAGCACTGGCTTTGTAGGCTATACTCTCCCAGGAAACAGTCTTCGTCCTCCGTAAAATGCATTGCTCACATCTGAATATTTGGGTTGAACTGTTCTGGAACAGTGTTGTAAATACAACTTAACCGCTGATTTAATTACAGCATTGACCCGAATATAAGACAATGTTTTTTTTCTTGGAAATACATCTGAAAAAACGTGGTCGTCTTATATTCAGGGTCTAGACTTTGACATGTCAATAAGACACCCACAACAATAGGTGGCGCCAAATACGCATAAAATGAGTGTGCCATGAAATACGTAATGTAACGCGTGTTGCAAAGATAGCGAGTAAAAACAAAAGAAAAAGAAAACCTTACAGCTGCATGAGTCGTGACTGTCATGTTAGCCTGATGGGACCAAACTCCCTTTGTGATTTTAAAACGTAAGACAGTACCCAGATTTGAAGACTACAGTAAGATTGAACTTCTACTGTTAATAAGATTTTGGTAGGCTACTATTAGATGGATAGCCTAAATGTCCTAATTCAGATGGGCTACCTGTTTAATTCTATATCTTCTTGCGTGACTGTGTTGGTGCTTTTATGTGTTCAGAAAATGCTGAGCACTATAAAGAATGAATAAAACTCATTAGGGGCTGAGAGTTGTGTTACTGGCTGTGCTAAAAAAAATCATAAAGCTTTTGTGACCAAATGTTGAGTACAAGGGGAAAATTGAGGTAATAGATTGGCATGGAAAGTTTAATCCAAAATAGTTTGGAGCCCTATCAAATAGAGAACTATGTTTTCACCAACATATGGTTTAACAACAGTATGGTCCTATCCTGCATTAATTCAGGAACACACCCCTGGCATTAGCAGCCAATCTTATTATAGGTAGCCACGCCCCAAAATCACACTATTGGTCGAGCCAAAGGTGACACAATGGATTGCTCAAACGAATTGAGCTTTCGAAAGCAGCACAATGTTCATACTCTTCAGGGAAATCAGCCTACGGATAGCTTTCTTATAGTTCCCTCTGCACACTTAATCATCAATATAACAAAGTGAGAAAGTATTTTAACATCTCAAATATTTTAAAACTTTAACCGTTAGCACCATCTCTTTATGGGTATATATGTTCATCTCTGGGTGTTTCAAGATATATGGGAGGTTAAAGTGTGTGTGTGTGTATAAAACTAGAGAGAGCGTTTATAAAGGGCTGGAGCATTTATAAGGAGATGCAATGGCTCTCCAGTGTTCTGTGAAAGATGAAGGTCTTCCCTCAAGCCACCCATGTCCATTTTCATTCATTCTACTGATTTCCCCCATCACCCCATCTGCCTCTCTACCCACAACCAATCATTTTGCCGGAGCTGACACAGCAGCAGCAGAAGCAAGGCCTGCAGGGGGCGAGTGCAAAAGTGTGTATGAGCCTGTGTGTGTAGCTCAAAACATATGAGTCATCCAAGTTTCTTTCCTACCAAAGTGAAAGTCTTTGAAGTGGAGGTGTACATTGTGAGTTTGCCCCGAGCACAGTTTCTGTTTTTGCAAAGGGAAACAGTGCGTTTCTAATCATCGCCGACAATCCCATGATGCTTCCGTAATCTCACCAGCTGCACTGGTGAAGAAAAGGTTACCCACACTAAAGAGCGAACTAAAATTATTTAAGATTACTTGCTGTTTAAGGGACATTCAGTAGTTAGCTAGCTAGCATTAGCATTGTATTCCTTTGTGTACTTTAAGTACTGATACCAGTAGTTGATGGAGTGATGGTGCAGTCAAATATGGTTGTTCAACGCATTTTGTCGGGTAAAATCCAGTCATTTCAATATCCACACAATCAGGAATTTTGTCTGAGAGTAAATTATTTACCCGCAGATTTTGCATCAGGTTCAGGTTGGTCATGCATGGATTCCAATGCTGACCAACAGAAAGCTGCTTTGTTTGAAAGTGACTTTTGTGTGAGCTGTGCTCAGTGTTGCCAAACCCCTCCCTCAGAAAATCTCTAGAACCACCCTCAAAAGTTTTGAGGGTGGTTTTTCACAAAAAGTCGCCAAATATGAAAACAAAATACAGGTAAATTTGGTAAAGGTAAAAGGAAAGTAAATATATATATATATATACACACACTTTACAAATGATAACAGTATAAAAAAAATATAACAAAAGATTAAATATAACAAAAAATTCGGAAGTGAAATTAGGAAATGCTTGTGATCTGCAAGCACATCAAACATGATGGAAATGATGGAAAGATCATAAAGCTTTTGTGACCAAATGTTGAGTACAAGGGGAAAATTGAGGTAATAGATTGGCATGGAAAGTTTAATCCAAAATAGTTTGGAGCCCTATCAAATAGAGAACTATGTTTTCACCAACATATGGTTTAACAACAGTATGGTCCAATCCTGCATTAATTCAGGAACACACCCCTGGCATTAGCAGCCAATCTTATTATAGGTAGCCACGCCCCAAAATCACACTATTGGTCGAGCCAAAGGTGACACAATGGATTGCTCAAACGAATTGAGCTTTTGAAAGCAGCACAATGTTCATACTCTTCAGGGAAATCAGCCTACGGATAGCTTTCTTATAGTTCCCTCTGCACACTTAATCATCAATATAACAAAGTGAGAAAGTATTTTAACATCTCAAATATTTTAAAACTTTAACCGTTAGCACCATCTCTTTATGGGTATATATGTTCATCTCTGGGTGTTTCAAGATATATGGGAGGTTAAAGTGTGTGTGTGTGTATAAAACTAGAGAGAGCGTTTATAAAGGGCTGGAGCATTTATAAGGAGATGCAATGGCTCTCCAGTGTTCTGTGAAAGATGAAGGTCTTCCCTCAAGCCACCCATGTCCATTTTCATTCATTCTACTGATTTCCCCCATCTTTGAGGGTGGTTTTTCACAAAAAGTCGCCAAATATGAAAACAAAACACAGGTAAATTTGGTAAAGGTAAAAGGAAAGTAAATATATATATATATATACACACACTTTACAAATGATAACAGTATAAAAAAAATATAACAAAAGATTAAATATAACAAAAAATTCGGAAGTGAAATTAGGAAATGCTTGTGATCTGCAAGCACATCAAACATGATGGAAATGATGGAAAGACACAATGTTGGGAATTTGTGTTATGTGTCACCAAATTGCATCCCTGTCCTGCTCAAATACAACAGACAAGAGATATTATTATTCTCCAAAAACAAAAACTTTATTCATACAAACTTATTTCCGTCAACACACTCTATTACTACAAAGTAAGTGCAAAATACTGCCTCTCAGCACACGACACGATGATGCACTGTGTCTCTCTCTCAGTATCTGGTTGACATGACTGTGCATTAATTGTGGTATAACTTTTGTGTCCATGGTTAAAACAAGATGTTCATTTTTTTCTCCGGCATCTTGATTGATGCTTATAATGAAATTGTGGTGTGCGTCATGGCGTACTGGTGTGTTCACTGCGCAGACTCATTGGCATGATTGAGAGCAAACGCGAGCGGTCACGGGCCTACGGCAGGGTGTGGCCAAGTAAAAAAATCTCCAAAAAAAACGCTAATTTTATTTAAATATAGCTAAAATAGCTCCTAAAAAAAGTCGCAGCTACAATGAGAAAGTAGCTAAATTTGGCGACAAAATCACCAAATTGGCAACACTGGCTGTGCTCCATACATTAATACCCTATTGCCAACAGACAATGGATCTTTTTCGCCTGCAAATTTTTGACCACACCTTTAGACGTTGTACTGACATCTATTGATGTGGATCAGCATGATGGTCTCTAAATTTGATGCAGATTAGACTATATTATAATGTAAATTATAATAGTCAGTTTTAGAAAGTGTTACCGAGCATTACAACTTAGGATTTTCTCTGTCATTAAATCTTTCCAATTTGTGTTTGCCATTGTTCAATGTTTATGTCCGTTATTTGTCTTCCCGTTGTCTCCAGTGGTAAAGCACAATACTAAGTGTTCCATTGTTTAAAATTATTTTTTCACGTCACCAAACAACACTATGCTACTGGCATATTTACAGAGGTGGCACCCAATTAGCACAAGGATTCTTTCCAACATTTAGGATTTTTCCCCCAGTTTTTTAAAAGCTGTTCCCATCAAAAATGACTGGCATACAAAAAAAAATGTGTGAAAAAACATTTATTTTTGGAATTGAGTAGTATGTTCTTTGATTGAACATTATATTATGAACCACAAATATTTTTTTTTCCCACTCAAAAAACTGAGATGCAAAATCTCAGATCGTTAAGGCCTATGTGCAATAATTTCCAATAAGAGATTCAAATCCTGTGCAAACTGAAAGAAAACAAGTTATAATATAGCATAATGAAAGATTCACAAGCAATTTTTTTTTTTAAAGGCCAGTCATTTTTGTCCAGAAACACTATAGGATTTTTAGGGCTAATTTATTTGTATATACTCATATAGCTGCATGGGGTAATTATAAGCACCTCTGATTTGGAGTAATTCAATTGCAGAAATTTTTTCGAAATCCCATCTTGGTGCAGCAGGACATGATACAGGATGCATTCGTGGTACCAGGCTTTATCGGGACATACAATTGTATATCATCTGCGTGGCAGTGGAAAGCAATATCATGACTACGCATAATTTCACCTAAGGGTAACATGTAAATAGAAAAGGTAAAAATATGTGGGTTAATGTGTAAAACTTAAAATCAAACTACTGAACAATAATAAAGTATTCATTATTAAGTCTCTTGCTTCCAATGTTTTAAGAAATTCACAAGTGTCTTCTAGAGTTTCAAAAGACAATATTTTCCCACACGGTGCTCAAATTTGCTAAGATGAAGGCTGAGATTTCCATGTGAATGCAGTCATTTATCATCCAATTCTTAGCCTTACTCGATCAACAACTGTCTTATTTGTCTCACTTTTATTTCTCTAAAGAAATTTGAGAAGGTGCATCTGAGAAAAAGTTGATATTTACTGTGCTGTGAAAGAGCAACCTCTGAGCAAGCAGTGCTCATTTATCAGCCTGAAACTGACAGGTTGCTTGCTTTCTCTCTCTAGATAATGTAGATGATGAATTAGAGATGACAATGGTCTGCCATCGGCCTGAGGGTCTTGAGCAGCTCGAGGCGCAGACGAACTTCACCAAGCAAGAGCTACAAGTCCTTTACAGAGGCTTCAAAAATGTACGCTGCCCGGTATTTCTCTTCTCATCCTTTGCATCACTCCCACATCTGCACATTTACTTTACACAAATATCTTTTGACACATTTTGGAATCTGATAAGAAGCTTATAGTGTGAATGTAATGTATCCTTATGCCTCAATATCTTCTCTTATGAATCATCACATCTCATCTGCATATACTGTCCCCGTGGTTCTGTTTGCCGTGTCTCATCTGTCTTTAAAACTCTGTAAACTCTTATTATTCCTCTATGCATTATCCAGCTTGTCACTAATCACTGTGTGCTAGCCTCAAGCAACAGTCAGCTAGTCATATTTCACAATACCAACATTCACACGCTCTATTAGACACACATAAACAGTAAGGCTCAGCAACCCACACAGGAGCTCATATTTATTGGGTTAAAAAAGCTTTACCAAAAACACTGTGTGGCATTTAATGGCAATGCTTCTCAACCGGTTTCGTTTGAGCCTTGAACCCCATCATATTTTTTACCATTCTCACAAAAATAAAATGTGATACATAACTGCAGGTGATTTGTAGAATAATTAAATTTATTTTAAAAATCACATTTATAATTATAATACAAAAAGATTTTAATAATATTATTATTATATTCTATAATTTAACTAATCCAATTACATCTACTAAGGGCCTGCGGAGCTTCAATTATTATATCCAATATGCATATGCAAGACTCCGTTTCAATCCAATAATATATTTATAATTTTAATAATATGTTTTGTTTTCCTCTCAGGAGTGTCCAAGTGGAGTGGTGAATGAGGAGACATTTAAACACATCTATGCACAGTTTTTTCCACATGGAGGTACTTAAAAAGAAGGGAAAAAAAGGAGATCCTTAAATATTACATTCATACAACAGCTACATTTTAGAGAATGACAGTGTCTAATGTTTTCATCTGTTGTCATCGCTGTACCAGATGCCAGCACATATGCACATTATCTCTTCAATGCGTTTGACACCAGAAATAATGAATCCATCAAGTTTGAGGTATGAACAATGTGGCGTTCTGACACAGCAAGAAATATTATTTTTTTAGTGACATTACACACAGGATTTATTTTCTGGCTCTCTCTCAGGACTTTGTGATGGGACTATCTACTCTACTGCGAGGGACGGTCAGAGAGAAACTAGAATGGACATTTCATCTCTATGACATTAACAGAGACGGATATATCAATAAGGAGGTATATCATATTTAAATAGGCAGCCATAATTAACATAACTTAATTCAATAACTCACTCAGTCTTCATGTACCTCACAGGAAATGACAGAGATAGTGAGGGCCATCTATGACATGATGGGGAAGTACACGTATCCGGCTTTAAAAGGGGATGTACCAAAACAGCATGTGGATGTCTTCTTTGAGGTCAGTATTTAATAATTATTTAGTGAATGTAAAAAAAAAATAATAATAATTTACATTTTGCAATAAAATGACAAAATGAATTAACATAAATATATATTTTTTTAAATTCCCAATATACTCAGTGGTGATTCTCATTAATTAAATTCTAGTTATTATAATGTGGTTCAAAGTATACTTCATTTTCTTATTGATTTATAAATTTCTTTTGATTTTGTGATAAAACATTTGTATGAATAGTTATATTCATCCGTAGCAATACTCTGTAATTTTTACAGACAAAAAAAAAATGTCAGAGCAACCCAAATTAATTTTCTCTCTCCTATAGAAAATGGACAAAAACAAAGATGGAGTTGTAACATTGGAAGAGTTTGTCCTTGCATGTCAGGAGGTATGTTCATAGTACATGCTGTAATCTATTTAAGTCTTAATTTGGAACTGCATCAATACTTTTTGACATATCTTTCTGCTAGAATAGTAATAGTAATCTTAAACATGCAAAATGATTCATGGCTCAAAAACAGCATTAGTTACTTGAAAAAGCCACATACTGTACGTTTATAAAATAAAATAAAAAATAAAAAAACGAAAACCCTCTGCAATGGTCATGCAATGGGATCAAGTTTCGCTGAAAAGGTTATACTGCCTCAGTGTGGTCAAACCGATGAATTACATCTAAAAGTTTCTCTCTTTTTTTCCCACCAGGATGAAAACATGATGAGATCCATGCAGCTCTTTGAAAATGTGATGTAGAGAAGAAGAAAAGAACACGAAAGAATGCAAGAGGGATTTTACGTTTAAATATATATTTCACTGATCTGAGTTCTGGGGGAATATGATGGCCAGAGAGGGATGAGAGTCTGTGGGCTTTGTTTTTCTCTCTCTATTCAAACTTTGTAACATATTCAGTGTTGTTTCTTGCTGGTGTTTTGGGAAATTGCCCAGAATCCACTTTGATCCAGCCACGGAAGACTACATATGTTTGAAAGGCATTTCCTGACTAGTCGGTGATGATGGTCAATGTCCTTCTTCCCTACGAAAAAGAAAGCTTGAGTGGCTTTTTTCATTTGCTTAACCCTAGAGCTCAGGACTTTACATTTGGTGTACTGGAACTGCATTCAAGAGGAAATACAGCCTCCTTTGCTTGCTTTCTTTGCCAAAAGAGCTTGCATGAGAAAAAAAAAAACTGCAGATTTGTTCCCTATCAGTTGCTTGAAAATATGCTGGCCTTCAAAAAAAATCTAATTTTATGATTTATTTATCTATGACACAGGGTTTAAAGGATACTTAATTGAATGTTGATTTTTGTCTTGTTTTGTAAGCGTTGTTTATTAGCAATTGTTGTTTCCAGTCCACCCGCTTAATGTAGCTATGTCTATCTGTCTCAGTACTTGCCAAGCCATTTTTGCCCACCAGATCATAATGAAACTGCAGATTTGTTCCCTATCAGTTGCTTGAAAATATGCTGGCCTTCAAAAAAAATCTAATTTTATGATTTATTTATCTATGACACGGGGTTTAAAGGATACTTAATTGAATGTTGATTTTTGTCTTGTTTTGTAAGCGTTGTTTATTAGCAATTGTTGTTTCCAGTCCACCCGCTTAATGTAGCTATGTCTATCTGTCTCAGTACTTGCCAAGCCATTTTTGCCCACCAGATCATAATGAATAAGGTGGGACAGAAGTTAAAAGTGTGTGTGTCTAAGTAAGTCGGGAGTATTAAGGAAACTACAAAATCACAACTGTATTCAAACCCAACAAATGACAATCTAGTCCCTGGATACCCTTCTGTCTCCAGATACCCCTGCATACTTTCAAGAAGGACAAATAGAAGGAAGGAAAATAAGTCAGGGTCATTTGGAAGACATATAAGCTATGTATATTCTTGCAAGTATGGTGCCACATGAAGAAGTGTCCGATGAGGCAGATATAAACTGTGAAAAAGTATCAGAAATATGCTGTGCAATTCAAATCTCAGTCGAAACCGATTAAAAACATTTGTGGAATAGCATTCAGCTGGGTTTTCTAATTTCATTGTTTATACTCTGAAGATTTGGGGTCATTCTGTTGGGTTATTATTATTTTTTTCCTAGGTGCTGGTAGACATGAACGGCATCACTTTATTGTGAATTATTATTATTATTTAAAAACTTGATGACATCTTAAATTCATAATGTTTAATGTTAATCATTTATGTAAACGTTTATGTTTCACTGCTTGCTTTGCTAAAGAGACAACAGAATACATACATAGGCTATATACTAATTAAACTACAGTACTTTAATAATCTTTTTCTTTACTTTGAACAAACATTTTTACAGTGCATTTATTTTACTGATGCAAACAATTCGCAAATGGAACATTTCATTTAAATCTTCCCAGACACGCTTTTAGCCGGATAAATGTCAAGCTCTAGACTGCAGAGCGCATCTCAACCTAGCCCCAAACTCGGTGATATGGAGCTCATTCATTGGCTGAGCAGGAGAACCGTCCCAGTAATGGGCGTGATATACTCAATGTGGGTTAATGTGTCCATCCTGCACTCGAGCGCACGGCACAGTTCAGTCTACGTACAGCCACTCATATAGCCTACAGAGATGGATCTCGAACAAATGGGTCCCCAAACCTTCCTGTACGGTATGTGATGCGATAAATACTTCTCTTGATCCGTTCTTGTCATATAGTCTATTAGATCACACGTATTGTACATAAACTTGGCGGTATGCACTTGTAAGAGCATGGCGTTATCGCAGCCTGCCAACTACCCCAAGTTATATTGTCATACTTAACTTGCTTAAAAACACGTGTTGATGTGTTAGCTGGTATACATGCATTGTAATATAGCTATTAAATGGCTGGATGTGGAGTGACATTAAACTACAACACGTGTAGAGCATTCGCACTAGATTATTCATATGGTGGTAGTTAGCAATTAATCTGACACCTATGTGTCTGTTCTAGCCTTTGATCAAATTCGAAATAAAATTACAAATTAAGTTATTAAAACAACGAAACCTCCACAGCTCGTGCCTCCCTGCACGCGCTCGCTAAACACGTGCACTCACTGGCGCTCCAAAATGGCGTCACTGTGCTCCACGTGTTCTTAGACGAGACAACGCTTCAAGTGTCTGAATTGCGCTCGCTAGCCTTTAACTTCAAAATGTGTTCTTAGTTATGTCATAAGTCAACTGAATGCTCATTAGGTGCTTTTCTTCTTCTAAATTTCGTTTTCCTAACAAACACACCCAGGTAATTTGGTCTAATTATACCAACGCTAACAGCGTTTAAAACTATTGCCATCAGTGTTCTCCATCATCTAACGTACTTGCTTACTATAAAAACGCGACCCTGGTTTAAAAATGTCGTCTGTATTGTCAGGCCTTGAGCAGTAAATTTAAATTTCAAGCTGTAGAGCAGGGCTGCCCAAACTCGGTCCTGGAGAGCCGGTGTCCTGCAGAGTTTAGCTCCAACTTGCCTCAACACGCCTGCCTTCAAGTTTCTAGTATGCCTAGTAAGAGCTTGATTAGCTGCTTCAGGTGTGTTTAATTGGGGTTGGAGCTAAACTCTTCAGGACACCGGCTCTCCAGGACCGAGTTTGGGCAGCCCTGCTGTAGAGCATCTCACAAACCTTGCCACGTGTAGTTCCTTGCTTCCACATGAAACCATGGCTGCGTTTTAAATGTAGTTCTCTTATTAAAAAAAAACACGATGCAGTGAAATGCAGGCTATAAAAATTATCGTGAACGAATCATTCTTTGGAGCCAGATTATTTAAATGAATCGGTGATCATGATATTCCTTCACGAATCGGATTGAATCAGACCGAGCGGTTCACTGACTCCTTTATAAACCTATAGATCAGTATTGTGGACCACGTGCCAAAGTAAATCACTTCATTGGTTTGGAGAGAGTATTGCTTGAGAATACAGGTTTGCAGAAGTTGGTTAAACTTCTCATTAAAGGAGGGATCTTAATGCTTTTTTAAAAATACTTTTAAAATAAACTTTGTTTGTTTTTACAGGTTGTCAGCTCCAGGCAGGCAAGGAGGTCCGTTTTAATCCAGAGGATGACAATTATGATCATCAGTTATCAGTCAGAATGGTATGTGGCCTTTTTTAAACGGTCCTCCAATTTTCAGTAACTTTTAAAAGTGAAAAAAAGTGAAGTGACATGTGGTCAAGTATGGTGACCCATACTTGGAATTAGTGCTCTGCATTTAACCCATCCAAAGTGCACACACACACACACCGTGAACACACACCCGGAGCAGTGGGCAGCAGGGCACCTCAGTCGTGGCGGGGAGCAGTTAGGGGTTCGGTGCCTTGCTCAAGGGCACCTCAGTCGTGGTATTGAAGGTACCACGACTAAATTTCATATACAAGGCATTTGTTTATTTGTTAATTGTTGCAGGCCTGCGTTGATCCCACAACAAAAGACGAACTGAACGTTGTGGAGATCGAAGGGCAAGATTCAGAGGGTCAGAAGGTCAAGGCAGTTCTGGCCACACTCAAGCCTTCCTCTCTACCCAGCGTAAGTACAGTGTCCATCCATTGAGCAATGTCATTTCACACATCTTTTGGGTAAACTTGAGTTGATCTCCATGAATTGCTCTTGTTGATTTTAACTAAAGATGTGTTTGTATCGCAGGTGTGTTTGGGTGGGTTTGAGATCACTCCACCTGTTGTGTTCCGTCTACGCTCTGGTTCCGGTCCAGTTCACATTAGTGGACAGCATCTCGTCAGTGAGTATTTCATAATACTTGAAGAGGTGTATGATTATTTGGGATTGTCTTGGATAAGAACTAATGGAAAACTGCTTTGGGAATTTTCAGGAAGCTTCTTATTTTTTTTAACTTTTCTTTCAGTCATGGAAGGAGACCAGTCCTTTGATGAAGACGAGGAGGAAGAGGAGGAGGAGGAGGAAGAAGAAGAGACACTGACCACAGCTAAGAAGAGGCCAGCGTTGGTGACTCAGAAGCTTTCAGTAAGTTCTGGAATAAATTAGGATCCTTTAATTGAGATCTATATATATATATATATATATATTAGGGCTGCGCGATATTTAACGCGCATCTTAGAGCCGTTGTTCACTGACGAGCTGCGCAAAACCACTATCATATTCTCGCGATTTTTTGCGCAGCTCGTCAGTGAACAACGGCTCCGTGTAGTTAATGCTGCTCAATGTGAAAGCCCGCAGGTGATGGAGATTTACAGCTGATTACAGAACCGGCTTTCTGACAAGATGCGCATTGAATATCGCATGCGATTTATCGTGCAGCCCTAATATATATGTATGTGTGTAATTTATTGACGGTACACCTTCATCAGTAACGATATAAAAATGCATGATATAGGCATGTGCTATGAGTGACGCAGACGCTCACACAAACAAGAACACATGCTGAATTGAGTCCTGTGATGAGATTGTGAATAAAAAAATTAATATTATTTGAATTTAAAATAAACATTTGCATTTGAATGCAAAAATGGTACAATCGAATGTTAGGAGTGCGTCAGGGAGCGTCATCAGTGGTGCATGAGATGCGGTGATAATGTAAGTGACGTTGCATTTTAATGTTTTGTTAGTCTAGCCCACGAGACGCGCCGCTACTGTGTTATTCGTTCAAAATATTAGCGAAATATAGTAGCTCAATGCGTAGAAGATCTTGATTAGGTTAAAACCGAAACCAAGCCATTCACACAGAACGCATATTCAGCACATTTTTACACTGACAAATATGCCTGCTGCACTCGCGTCTCATGCAAGAGATGCAAAGTTAAAACAGTTTTAACATTTAGAAAACGCGACGCAAATTTGTGAAGGTTTATTTCATTTCACTGCGTCTCATATGCTTTTAAATGCAATCTGTGTGATTGGCGATTTGGCTCTTTGTATTAGGCTAAGCAATGCATAAACACATGATGCTGTTTTGTTCATAATTGTTTATGCAGTTAACAAAATTATATTTTATTTATATATGTTAATTTAGATGTTATGCACGTTTTTATAGACAGTTATTTGAATTGACAATTAATGCGCTGCATTATTTTGCTCATTGCGCCCTCCTGTGGCCTTGGAAAACAAGTCAAAAGTTTCCTTAAGACTTATTTAATCTGCATATAAAACATTAGAAAAGAGATATTTGTTTAAATTTTATGTTTGATTGTAAAAAAATA